TTTCTAGCCAGACGGATCTCAGGGCGTGCAAAATCTGTTCCGAGTCCGCCCCATTAACATATATATTCAAATGGGCTTTTAGATTACCCCATCAATTATTAATTAATTCATATTATTATTATTATTATTATCCATAAATATTATTAAAAATATATTATATATATACACATTAATACTATATATAAATATTTTATTTGTTTATACAAATTCAACAATTTATGGCAAAATAAATTTTGTTTAGATTAAAAAAAATAAATTTATCCAAAAACACAATGAACACACTCACAATTGTTTATATAAAATATTATATCTAATAATTATTTTATTTTAAATAAAAACAATAGTATTAATAATTTGATAATAGGTTGAGAGAGGGGGGATGAATGCACAATAGAGGATATTGTTTTAAATAGCTTGCTGAAAATTGTTCTTGAACGCACATGGCCCACATCAATATTCTCGAAGTTTTTATATTAATTAATAAAAATTAGTATTACCTTTTTCTTTTCTTTTTTTAATATTACATTTATATACTTTATGTTATTAAATATTAAATTATTATTTTAGAAAAATAAATAAATAAAACTTTCAAAAGATTGTGATCACTAAATCAAAAAATTTACATATGCATTTCAAATCTACTTACAAAAATTATCAATGCAAGATCAAATATTATTTCTAAATTATCAAAAAAAAAAATTTATGTTTGACATAAAAAATAAAAAAAAAAAATCAAATTAAAAGTAATAAGCAAACACACCCTTAAAAAAAATAAATAAATAAATTCTATAAAAAGAGCCATAATAATAATAATAATAATTGGCTGATGCGGTAATTATACAAGTTTTGGAGCATCTTCTACATTTATACTATAATTTCAATTTAATATTTTATTTTTTAAATAACCTCCCTATTTACATTTTTATTATTATGACAAATATCTTTAAATTTATTTATATTAAATTAAAATACAAGAGAAAATTCTTTATGTAAGAAAATTGCTTATCAGTTGTAATTTTAATATAATATATATATTTTTTAAACTCCACATTAAAGTAATTAAATATATATATATATATCTTTCTAAGTATATGGGAAGAGTATTAAATAGATATTTATATCATAAAATTAAAATAATCAAACCCATTATTTAACAACAAATACTGATATTGATACTATATCGGATGCAGAATGATCTTCTCATTTGAAAAGTTCGAATTATTAAAAAAATATAATTATTAATTATTTAATCCGTAAGCGGAAATTCCCAACGAAAATGTTTTTTAGTTTTAAATAGCATTTCCTCCATCAATATTCATTCATCAACATCCTACAATTTTTCCTAACTCTATATGTGCCACCTAGAACATCACTAAGCAATAGAAAAGACTCGTGGACATTCGTGTCGGGTTGAATACTTTGAACAGGTTAAATTGTTCAATCCTAACTCGACTCATTTATTATCATTTCGGGTTCGAATTGACTTGTGTTGACCCGTATACATAACTAAGACAAAATTCTTGATTCAAATTAAATTATTTTTTGTCGTATTATCGTGTTATGTTAGTTTTTATTAGTTTGAGCGTAAATTAGGTTGAATTATCTAAAATTGAACTTAATTTAAATTAATTTATGAGAAAATTATAAAATTATGATTATTTTACATATATAATAAATATATCAATCAATATTAATATATTATAATCGGGTTGTCGTGTCGGGTTCGAATTGAGAGCCTCAACTCTAACTCAACTCGTTTATTATCGTGTTGGGTTCGTGTCAGCCCGTATACATAATCGAATTAAAATCTTTTACCAAAACCCAATTATTTTGCATCGGATAATCGTGTCAGGTCAGTTTTTGTCGATCGTAATCATGATGTCTGTGGTTGAAGTGTTACATAAAGTAAGACCCTTCTTCAATTAGATATGTAAAATAATTTTCCAATTTTGATTCATTATTGATATATGTATGGCCCAAATATTGAGAGTTTTCACTGCTTTGAACCAACATATAGATTTGTCTATCTGAAATAAATTTGTCGGCCTAATGCGACATGCATCATAATAGAATATTGATTGGTGTATATTCAACTTTGAATTTTTTTTATTTTTTAGTTTTTATTTTATTTTATTTTATTTTATTTACTAAATCAGAATAATCGTACATTCCATAATATAAATGAGTAAAATATAGGAGACATAATATAATTTATATTTCCACGATCTTCAATAATATTTGCTACCATAATATACAAATACATTTATTTGATTCTATCATTATATTTAAATAGAAGATAAAAATATGGGCTTCAATAGTTATTACTGTTGGAAAAAATTAATCCGACCTGAATCTGATCCGAAATAATTGAGTTTGGTTAACATTTTTGATCCAATTAATAATTAGATCAAACTCGTTTAATCCATTTAATTAACTGAGTCAGATTTAGGTCCAAAATTTCTACTTGAAAACAACCGGTCAAACTTATTTAATTAATATTATTTGAAATTGAAATTTTTATTTTTTAGATTTTACCGATTCAATTCAAATATTCATGGTCAATTTATAGAAAAATAAAATAAAATTTAAGCTACAATGCTACAAAATTAGGATTAAACAAAACATTAAGTTGGGTACGTTACGTAGTATTTGTTAATTCGACTTTTGAATATCGGTTACATAATATGAATAAATAATTTTTGCTCTAATATGTATGCATATACTATGCATTTGAAAATCTTATTAGTAGAAATTGTAATTTTATAATTTTTAAAATTCTAGACTTAACCAAGTTATACAGGCCATATTCTCCAATTAATAAAAAATCATGTTAAGGTTGCAAATATCAACCAATTTTATTAAATAGGTCAGGTTCACATAAAAAAATTTCTAACCCATTATAGCTAGACCTAGCAATGGGTCGAGTCGTATCGGGTTGAATACTTTAAATGGGTTAAATCGCTTAACCCTAACCCGGCTCGTTTATTATTGTGTCGGGTTCGTGTTGACCCGTTTATTATCGTGTCGGGTTTGTGTTGGATTCGTGTTGACCCGTATACGTAATTAGGTCAAATTCTTTGATTTGAATCCAATTATTTTTGTAGAATTTTCGTGTTATGTTAGTTTTTGTCTGCTCTAATTTAATGTATATAGTGAATTAGTTTAGATTATTTAAAATTGAACTTAATTTAAATTAATACGTGGATTAATTATCAAATTAGAATTATTTTACATATATAATAAATATATAAATTAATATTGATATATTATAATCGGGTTGTCGGGTCGGGTTCGAGTTGAGAGTCTCAACTCTAATCCGACCCGTTTATTATTGTGTTTGATTCATGTCAACTCGTATACATAATCGAGTCAAAATTTTTGTTCCAAATCCAATTATTTCGTATCGGATTATTGTATCGAGTCAGTTTTTACCGACTCTAAATTTATAACTGACCGTAACCCGATTCGTTTGTCAGCGGTAATACTAATAGAGAAGTTTTTAAAGGATAGACATAAATAGAAGATAGAACTTTGCAATGGTTGTGTGAATAAAGGGATGGTAGAACCACCATCTATATTATACACACAATTTTGTTGGCTGAAATTGGCACTTTGTATGACGATTTTTGTCACATAAACAAAAATGGTCGCACCTTAGATCATCTTCTGCCAAATCGCTAAACATGGTACCCAAGCACTACCATGTTGGCATGGGAGTTGCCATGTCGGAAAATATCGCCACATTGTATGACAATTTTGACTAACATACCAACAACGGATGCCATGTTGGCAGATACGCTTAAGAACAACTACAATAATCACACAAAAAAAACTTCAATATGTGTCCAAATTTAAAATAAGGAAAACGGCAAAAAAAAAAAAAAAATTGTTCTGTATGTAAGTCTAATTATTATTTTTGAATATATATATATTTTTTTTTACTTTCATAATTTAGGATATTATATGTACTCCGTGCATTATATTTGTTTTTCGGTGTCGAAAAAATACACGTGACCGTCATGTGCCCCTTCGTGGCATAGCCGACGCACATACATGGACGCCGTTATTGTGTTGTTTTGGTCGTCGGACATGTGATGTAAACTTATTGTTTTTTTACTTTCGCAATTTAAGACATTATGTGTATTTCGAGTATTATTTTGTCATTCGGTGCCGAAAAAATAATTTGTTCTAAGTTTTTTTTTTTTTTTTTTCAAATTAGTCCAATTGGTTATTTGTAATTTAGTCCAATTGAGTCAAATTAAAATTTAAAAAAATATATATAATTTTATTTTTTAAAACACGTCACCTATCTAATGACCCTAGAACAAATTACTTTTTTTTGGAACCAATGGTCAAAAATAATAATTAAAATACACATAATATCCTAAATTGCGAAAAAAAAAAAAAAAAAAGCTGGGCGACAAAACAGCAACAGCAACATCTACTATGCGCGGGTCATGCCACAAAGGCATATGTGACGGTCATGTGCATATTTTCCATATCGAAAGATAAAAATAATATCTGAAATATACATAATATCTCAAATTGCAAAATAAAGAAAAATATTCGAAAATGATAATAATTTTGTATACATATGTAGTACTTTTTGCAATTTTCCCTTTTAAATTGATCAAAATAAAAATAGTACAATAGTAAATAAAATAATTAATAGTATATTTTTAAAAAATAAAACGAAAATAAGAACGAATGCATCGACGGTGCCTCGACTACACGCTCTGAATTGTATGTATTTTTTATCTAGAAGCCATCTAAAAGGCACCTACTGGCTACTGTATATGCTCTAATCTCCACGATACGTGTATTAACAATATATATATATATATTTTCTTAAAGTAATTTTAGTAATAATAGTAAAATAATTGAGCCCATCATTTGATGCCACCTACCATTTTCTAACGTAATATTTTAAATAAATTTATATATTTAATACGATTTTAAAAAAATAAAAAGAAAAATAATTTTCCCGAGCCCCAACCCAAAAAACTGACTTTATACATTTATGCCTGCTCCATTTGGAGATATTTCGTGTTCGTCCCTCCGTACTCCATCCCCAAATCTCAAAATCAAATCATCCATGGCCGCCGACGATACCGACGCTGCTCCACGATACCACACCAGAATCACATGCCTCGTGCTGCTCTCCTGCCTCATGGCGGCCACCGGCGGCCTCCTCTTCGGCTACGACACCGGCGTCACTGGTTGGTTAATTTCTGATTAATTTCCCCCAAATTTAGAAACCGGATTAGGGCTACGAATTGGTCGAGCGATTGGTAGAATTATGAACTGGCGTTTTGTATTTCTGTTGTGTGTGAAGGTGGAGTGACGTCAATGGACGCTTTTCTGAAGAAATTCTTCCCGACGATTTACGCGAGGATGGAAGAGGAATCGGATACCACCAGCAACTACTGCAAATTCGATAGCTTCCTTCTGACGTCCTTCACGGCGTCGATATACGTGTCCGGATTTGTGGCCTCTTTTGTGGCTTCACGCGTGACGCCGATGTACGGGCGGAAGGCGTCGATCCTGGTCGGCGGAATCGCCTTCGTCGCCGGAGCTGTACTTGGAGGAGCCGCCGAGAATATGTTTATGCTGCTTTCCGGTCGGCTCCTGCTCGGCGTCGGAATCGGCTTTGCCAATCAGGTTAGTCCAACAGTGGGTGAGCTTAAATTTTGATTTTGAGACTTAAAAATTAATAGGATAAGATCATTTATTTATTTATTTATTTACGGGAGTAACACAACAAAATTGAAATTAAAATTTAATTAAACAAAATGTAAGTATTTGTTGGTGTTTTTTAATTATGTGTTTTTTCAGGTTTTGTTTGAAAAATATTGTTTTGAATTTTATATTAAAATAATACTCCATCCGTCCATTAAAATTAGCACATTTAGGTCTGGCAAAAATTTAAAAAAAATTAATAATTTATTGAAAAAGTCATAAGTAATTGAAGGTATTTTTGAAAAATTAGTTATGATCGTAATAAAATTAATAATATTTGTTATAAATAAGTGTTGAATGTAGGATAATAATTTAATGTTGATTTTGTCAAAATTAGTAATGAGATTAATTTAACGGACAGACTGAAAAGAAAAGTGATAATAAATTTGGCGAACGGATGGGGTATATGATAAAATATTTTGTAAGTGAAAAACAAAAATTGTACTACTTCCGTTCGATTATAAGAGTCTCATTTTTTGTTTGGGTATTAATTATTGAATATTAATTATTATATCAAAATATAGTGCAAATTAAGAAAAAAATTATAAAATACTTCAATTAGTGTCTTATATATTAATAGAATGATATTTGCAAAAAAATAAAAAAATAATTACAAATATAATAATATTTTCAACATTAATTACGGTAAATGTGAACTTAAAGTGTGAGAGTATGATTTTTTTAGAAAAAAACAGAATTTAATTTTTGGGAAAACTTAGAATAGAAATTCTTCTGGTTAAGTTTGAAAAAATTTGGTTTAATTTTAATATTAAAAAAACAGTGTTAGATAATAAAATTTAGAAAAATTAATAATAATAATAATAATAATAATAAAATAGATCCAATATTGTATATATTTTTATTTAATAGTAGTAGTATTATTTATTGTGAGGAAAAACAATAGAAAAAATGCAAGAAATTAACAATTCGTCGTATCAGTATATATTGTTTTAAAATTGATTTATGATATATTAAAAAGTACACAGACGAAGTAATAAATAAATAAAAGTATACAATCTTTCCTTGTTTTAATAATGTATCGTATAGATTTTGCAGTAAATTAATAAATAATGTTCTCTTTGTCTATTTAATAAGATTATGTTTATATTTTACACATCATTGTTTTTAATATGCATAAATTTTTATACAAATATAACTATATTTGTATTATAAAATATTAATAGATGTATTTTTGTATTTTTCTTTAATTATATTACGTATTGATATAATAATTAATATTTACAAATTAATATGTCAAAAAGCAAATATAAATTTTTTAAGTGGACGAAAAAATTAATATTCTATTAGGTAATTGAAGTGTGTAAAATGAATTTGATATTTTTATCTTTTGTATTTATGTACATGCTGAGATAATATATTTGTAATTTATGTAAAAATTAAAAATATTTTAATATTAATATGTCATTATTTTTACAATATTAAAAAAATTCTCTTTAGATATGGTATAAAAAAATAATAAAAAGTAACATAATAAAAATTTAAGAGATGTTATGATGGTGATAGGTGAAAATCAATTATTGATGTGATTTAGTTTTAGATAAAATATTGTATTTTTTTATTAGAAAAGGCGACAGATGAATAATATTAATTTTTGTTTGAAATATTAAAAGAATAAACATAGTTTGATAGTAGTATATATTGAATTTATTATTATTATTTTATGATATTAGAATTCTCAGTCGCTATTCTTTCGATGAATTTTGGATAAATTTACAATCGAATTTAATCATATTAAACAAATCATGTATAAAATCGAAAAAGTTTGGACTTTGCTACCATTATATTACACTAATACAAATTTTGTTTTCTTACTTTATATTGCTGTGCTACCTGCTTGTATTCAAACTGTTGTCACACCAGTTGAATATTTTTTATCAGCCTATTATTTTCAAAAATAATATTAAACATATTTTTATATAAAATATAATATTAAAAACTATTTTGATTTATAAATATAAAAATAAGTAAATATTTTTGGGGAACAGATTATATTAGCATAAATTTCTCCTTTTTTATAGTTTCTAAATTATTTTTCAATTTTCTGAGTAACATAACACCACTATTTTACAGTTTTCTCTTTACTTTTTTATTTTTGATTCCTCTATGTATGTTTGGCAGTCAGTTCCGCTGTACCTCTCAGAAATGGCGCCACCAAAATACAGAGGCGCTTTAAACATAAGCTTCCAAGTCTTCGTATCTTTCGGCTGCGGCGTAGCCTTCTTGATCAACTGCGCCACCGTCACCGCCGCCGGAGACTGGGGGTGGCGGATATCGCTCGCCACCGCCACATTCCCGGCCCTAATCCTAGCCGTCGGAGCGATATTCCTGCCGGAGACGCCGAACAGCCTAATCCACCGCGGCCGCGACATTGACGAAGTCGAAACGCTACTACGAAAAATCCGCGGCGCCGACGACGTCCGGGCGGAATTATCCGATCTCGTTGCGGCCAGCCGGAACGCCGCCGCCGTGAAACGGCCGTTCAAGAGAATACTCGAGCGGCGATACCGTCCGCACCTCGTGATGTCGGTGGCGATCCCGTTTTTCCAGCAGATGACGGGGATCAACGTGATCACGTTCTACGCGCCGATTCTCTTCCGCACGATCGGGTACGGCGAGAGCGCCGCGCTGGTCGCGACGGTCATGATCTCGGTGATCGGGACGAGCATGACCGCGCTGTCGTGCCTGATCGTCGACCGGCTGGGGCGGCGGACGATATTCCACATCGGCGGCATTACGATGCTCGTCACGCAGGTCGCGATCGGGGCGATCATGGCAGCCGAGTTAGGGGACTACGGCGAGCCGAGCCGGGGCTCGACGACGGTTATTCTCGTCTTGATTTACGCGTACGTCGCGAGCTTCGGGTTCTCGTGGGGCCCGCTCGGGTGGCTCGTGTCGAGCGAGATTTACCCGCTCGAGATTCGGTCGGCGGCGCAGAGCATATCGGTCGGTACGAATTTCTTCATGAGCTTCGTCGTCGGGCAGACGTTTCTCGCGATGTTGTGCCGGCTTAAGGCGGCGACGTTCTTTTTTTACGGCGGGTGGGTGGCGGTGATGACGGTGTTCGTGTGGCAGCTGTTGCCGGAGACGAAGAATATTCCGATCGAGAAGATGAATGCGGTGTGGAAGAAACATAGTGTGTGGGGGAGGTTTGTGAACGATGGCGGCTGCGAGGAAAGCAGCGAAGAAGACGGCCGTATTGAAGAGCCGCTTCTTCGCTAAAAGATGGTAGAGTTATATATACCCTACCACGAATACAAGATTTGTAATTTGATATAAATGTATTTAGAATCGATTTATGTGTGTATAATTAGTATATTGTTAATAATGGAATTAGAGGTTATTAAATAAAATTGATAAGTTCAAATTGATTAATATAAATATTTGTTGTTATTATTGTAATAATTAAAAGAAAAAAAAAGAAGTCACAAATAATCAGACAAGTAATTCATTTAATACCATCGTGTTTAATCCGACTCAACTGTCCGATCAGCATTGATAATCGCGATATTAGTATAGTCTTTTCAAATTACAACATGTTAGATAGTTTTTTAAGTTTTTTTTTTTTTTTTTTTTTTTTAAGATTAATTTTGATAAAAAAATTTGAATGGGACCAAAAATAAAAAATTTAAATTTGAATGCGGCTACAAATTATTTTTGCTCTTTCGTTTGGGCTATTTCCGTTACAAGATTCAGATACATTCTCATGATTTAAGTTTTTATTTAGATATTTTTTCATTTGGGCTATTTATGTATTTTTGTAATGTCAAAATAGAGTAGGTAAAAAATAAATTAATAGATTATACACCCTTCATTTCAACTCATTTTTATATTTTAGGTGAAGTGTATTAGTAAAAATAATTATAAATTAAAATTAAGTTAACTAAATAATTTAATGAAAAATAAAAAATATAAATTATAAATTTTTAAAATTTAATTAAAATGTATAATTATATATATATTTTTTAAAAAGACAATTTATATGGAATGGAGGGATATGAAAAGAATGAAAAAATAAAATGAAAGAGAGGGAGTAATAAATTTATTAAATAGTTCAAAAAAAATGAGATAAAAAAAAAATATGACAATTTATTTTATTACTATTTGTTAAAGTGAGATTGAAAGTAATAAAATTGTAGATTGAAAGTTGGTTATTAAATAAATTATGCATAATTTTAGTAAATAATAAAAAAAAAAAAATGAATAGTGACATCATTATCTCGGGCGAAAAAATTAGTATTTTCATGTAATCTTTTTTTAAAAAAAAAATACTATATTTTTATTGAAATGTGTCCTTAATAAATAATACTCTGATTAATTTTAATTTAGAATTAAAAAATACAAAATTATTATTTTCTCTGTCTCGGCTATAGTGTCTCATTTACTCTAGACACAACAATTTAAGATGAGTATAATTAATAAATAATTAATAATTTATTAGTTAAAATAATTATTGTATAATAAAAATAATTTTAAATTAAAATTAATATAACTAATTAATGTAATTAGAATTTTAAAAATTATAAATTATAAATTTTAAAATAAAATTAAAACGTATAATTATTTTTTAAAAAAAAAATAAAAATAACATAATAAATGAGACGTAAGAAATATTATTATATCTCATGCATTGCCCAAATAATATATTACTCCCTCCGTCCCGTTGCAAGGTTGCCATTGATTTTTTGCATTTTGATCTTTGGATATTAATTATTATATTAAGACGTAGTACAAAACGAGAAAAAAAAAACAATAATATGTTTATTAGTCTCTTATAATACCAATACAATAACACTTTTACGGTAAATTATTCAAATATAAAAATATTTGTAATGTCAAATATAATGACGCAAAAAGAAAATGACAACTTTACTTCGGGACAGAGTATCATACGTCAATATAAAAATATAGTACTATATATAAATAGAACAACGTGGAGCCTCATTAGTCACTACTGTACATTTAATTATTTTAATTATAAAAACAATGACTGCAAAGTTTTATTTTAAAAAATAAAGTTGTCTAATAATAATTAAATAAATAGTGTGGGGTATTAACTACTACTTATAGTAAACAATAATTAATAAAATAGTACCTCCGTCCTAGATACCGTGTATATTATATTATACATAAGGTATTTTAGGAGGAGTATAATTAGTAGATAATTAAGAATGTATTAATAAAAATAATTATCCTATAATATAAATAATTATAAATTAAGATTAAGATAACTAATTAATTTAATTAAAATTTAAAAATTTAAAATGAGATTAAAGTGTATAATCATTTTCCAAAAAATGAAAGTAACATAGTACGTGAGACGGACAGAAACGACAACGTGGAGATGATATTTAGGACGGAGAGAATAATATTTAACATAATCAATAAATGCACCATTAATAAATAATTAATATATGTAATATTGCCAGAGTAAAACAGATTTAATCACTTATTTAGATCTGTTGTCTGACAATCAGAAAATTCATATCTAAATTAAAAATACTTTGGAATGACAATTTATGATCTCTAAAAATAATTTGCCATTTCAGAGAAATATATATATAATATTATTTTTTATAAAATTATTAAAAAATATTTATTTTAATTTTAATTTTTTAATACATCACTTTAAATTTTTAAAAATAAATTTCCGTCAAGTAGCGCTTATTTGACGGATACATGTCATTCGGCATGCCACACTTGCATCTTCGGCATCGTAGGACCCAATATGTTAAAAAAAAATTATTTAGAGTGTGTTTGTTTGGGGGTTTAGATTTTGAATTGAAATTTGAATAGTTGTATGATGTGATATAAATAAGTGTTTGATGTGATATTTTGAATATAAAATTAATTTTTAGTAAAACATAAAAAAATAAAAAATATGTATTTAATTTGATGTTTTTGGGGAAAAAATGAAATAAATAATGTATTTAAAATATAATCTTCCAAACAAACACACCCTAAACTGGACTATTTTAATACAGACTCAGTTACAAAATTAAAATTATAGAATAAAATTAATGATGAAACTACAAAAAATAATTTACCCTAAAACAATATAAGACAATATTAATAGATGGACATAAGAGTATAAAAATTAGGAAGTCAGACACATTTATGATATATATTTAAAATAAATGGGCAATAAATATTATGAAAAATATAGTATAGATTTAAATTTATTTCTTTGATAATTTTTTTCTTTTAACTCTCAAATTTTATATCTTTTATTATATATGTTATTCAATTTAATATTAATATTAATTTTTTAAAAAAATTTAGTATCATAAATTTTAATTTATAAATGTAGTTACAAAATATAATAACGTTATTATATTGCGTATTTCACACTTAAAAATATTTATTTTTTATTAGAGTAAAAATAATCATATAATAACACCGAAATATTTTAAATTTTTACATAAATTACAAATATACCATCAAATAAATAATTAAATTATACTCTTTTCGTCCGTTTCTAAGGTCTCATTTACCTTTTGTGATATTATACTTAACATTAAAAATATCCTTACATTTGTATAATTTTTTTTACAAATGTCCTTCTATTAGTATTATAAGACACTAATGAGAGTATTTCTTTTCAAATTTTTCTTAATTTGTATTACGTTTTTATATAACAATTAATATTCAAAGATCTAACACGTAAAAAGTAAATGAAATCCTTAGAGCCGGACGAAAGTAGTATATAAAGTATAAGAAGCAAAAATTCAAAACCATTTACATACTTTCACTGGTTAATAAAATATCATTATTTTTTGATCTACTACAAAAATTCAAAATGATTTATTGGAGTGGGATGGACATAGAGATGTTAAAAAAGCTGTGCCAGCTCGAGTATTGGTTGTTAACGATACATGCTCGGATCGACTCTTTATAAATTCAAACTAAAATAGTGATTCAAACTTGACCCGTTAAGATCAAATTCAAGTTTGAGCTCGGCTCCTAAAGGTTGAACTCGAGCTCAAATTTGAGTTTAATTTGAATTTTATACATATTTTATATATTTTTAATATCTAGATTAAATCTATCTAATTTTATTTATAATTTATTACGAAAAAATATTCAAAATTTACTAATAAATATAATTTTATATAAAATTTATATATATTATACTCCCCCGTCCCGAAACTATAGTTTTGGTTGTGTTGGGCACGAGGGTGAAAAGTATAGGTAAAAGACATTTTTGCCCTTGTGAGTGTATTAGTGTAAAAGGTACTGACAATTGTGTAATAATAATGAAATATTAAAGAGTAGTTATACAGTGATATGATTATAGAAATAAGACTATTATTTTGGGACGGACAAAAATAGTAAATAAGACTGTTGTATTGGGACGGAGGGAATATTAATATATAAATAACATAAATACATTATCACATACGAGCTCAATTAAATTATTTATGAACCGAGCTAAAGTTTATCTTTATAAACAAATCAAATTGAGCTATTAATGAGCCAATCAAAACTATTACTATTGAATCTCTACATAATTTTAATATATATATAATTCGGGCATGGTTCAGCTGATTTGATTGGATCAACGCATATCATATACGTGAGCAACATATATTTATATATATTTTAAACATATTTATAATATAATATATATTGTACTATATATAAATATATATTGATCATCTTATAACATATATTGATCCAATCAAATCAATACAAAATCAGCAACTATATAAATCTGTACTTAAAAATCAAATAAGTATCTTAGATTTAAATAAAAAGTTAAAGTCAAATTAAATCAAGTAAAAAAAAAAATATATATTTTTATATTAATATATTATTATTTTTATTAATATTTATATCTAACTTTCTAAGTAAATAATAAAAGTACTAATATTATTCTTTCAAATAAATAAAAGCACTAAAAAAGCATCAACCACGTGGAAAGTCTGAAATTGGTTTGTCACTATGCATTATGATTGAGCTGCTACAGAGTAATATTAAATTCCATTTAATCAGAACCGTACCATTTTTATAATAATACTTTTATTTAAAATTTCAAGGCTATGATTTAAATGTGACTATTATTAGTGGTGGACAAAAAAAATCGAACTGAACTGAACCGAATTGAATATTTGGTTGATCGAACAAATTCGATTCGAATACAAATATTGCATATTTGATATTTGCTCGATTTGGTTCGATTTCGATTTTGATATTTTTTAGATTTGATTAATCGAACTGAATATATTTATTTATTTATGTTATTATATTTTAAATTTTATATTAAAAATTATATTCGGTTCAATCACGGTTCGGATATTTGAAATATTTGTAAATAATTTGATTTAATTAGAATTTAAATTATTTTTTAAGATATTATTTTTTAATTTCAATTCAATTCGAATTATTTGCAAATATTGCAAATATTTTCAGTTAACCGAAAATTCGATTAACCGAAATTTTTGGTTCGGATACAGTTGAATATTTGTTCGATTCGATTCGAATATCAAATATCTGCATATTTGCAAATATCCAAACTGTGCCCACCCCTAACTATTATTACTCATATTTACTATCAATACCCAATTTTGGAGTGATATATTAGTAAATAATTAATAAATATAATTATATTACATATAAATTGTTATAAATTAAAATTCAATTTTAAAAAATAAAAAATAATTAAAATAATAATTTATTTTTTAAAATAAAAGAAGTCAGAAGAAAGGCAAATTAACACAAGAAGAAAGAGCATTCTAAAAGGTTGTTTTTTTTCTTTAAAGCAGAAAAAAGTGTAGACAGAACTTAACCACCACATTATATTATTTAAATATTTTAAAAATATTACTCTTTCCGTCTTTTAATAATTTATCTATTTATTTATTTTGATGTATCTCATAATAAAATATATATTTTTTTTTAGTAATTGTTGTAACTGTCTAACATTACAAATACCATTCCGATTTACAATATATTACACAAATGTCATAACCTTTGTATCATATAATACTAATAGGGTTAATTTAATCTTTTTACATTTATTTCTACTCTATCCCAATATAATACTAATATTTTTAAAACTCTATGTAAAAAATATAGATATGGGACGGAGGGAGTATTATTTTTATAGAATTCTTTTGCCGAAATAAAAATGCATTAGTTCGTAACGACAATATTTTTTATTTTTATTTTTTAAATAAAAATAGGACAACAGTGCAAAAAAAAAAGAAGAAAAGATACACACTTTCAGTGTATCCATTTACATTTTTACTATTAATGTCACGTTTCACATGTTACTTTATGTATACATAATTATATAATAAATATAACTCTTATATAGGTTTTGTTCACATTGAGTTTTTAGGTTCATATATCATATATTTTTATAAATATTATTTGAAATATATGATATACAAATGTTAACCCAATATATTAAATATATATTTTTTCCTTTAATTCAAATGAATTCATTTTTTTTTAATAAAAGTACTTTTTATTTTAATAAAAAATAACATTTCACTTTAGACAATATTATAAACAATATCACAAAAATAACAAAATTTAAGGGCAATATTATTATTATTTTTATCTTTTTCTATTATTATTTATAAAATACTACTTTAATATACTCCATTCCACCTACAAAAGTTAAATGAAATATAAGACAAAATATATTTTATCTGCTCACAGAAATTAATTTTTAATATTAAATATTATATTTATATTATCGATATAATTATGATATTTTATATAAATTTAAATTCATTTAAAACTTAGGGTTTCTTTATTCCGCCAAAAATACTAGATTCGTATTATTTGCATTTTACCTTTTTGAAAAAATATATATATTTTTTTTGATAAAATATCTTATTATACTTTATACATTATTTTAATGCTAAAAGTAAACCAAAATTTTGTCAAACTCAAAAATAAATAATAATAAATGAAAAAAAAATACACCCGGAATGAAAGAATCATATATTCATTTTTTTTAAAAAAAATATAATATTTTTAAAAAATATATTTTTTTGAAAAGAGCCATGTGCCATTAATATTTTATGTATTTTATTAAAATTAATTTTTATATAAAACAAGTCAGATATCTTTTAAATCAAAATAATTTTCTTAAACATTTATATTAATTTATATTTATATATATCGCACATTGTTTTCGTGCCACACTTTATTTCTTATTACCACCATTCCTCGCCCATTAACCCCATTGACCATATCTGTTTCATCTTCTTCCTCCTTCAACCCCTCTTCTATGGCTGCCGCCGTCGTCGTCGCCGGATCCGACGCCTCCCTTGAGTACCCCGGCCGAATCACGTGGCTTGTCGTCCTCTCCTGCCTCATGGCCGCCACCGGCGGCCTCCTCTTTGGCTACGATACCGGCGTCACCGGTCAGATCTCTCTCTCTCTCTCTCTCTATATATATATATATATACGTATCTATACACACACACATAGGTGTACGTGCGTGTGCGTGTGCGTGTGGCGTTTAATTTGATTTCCCGGCGCAGGCGGAGTGACGTCGATGGAGGCTTTCCTGAAGAAATTCTTCCCGGAGATTTACACCAGGATGGCGGAGGAGGCCGACACCACCAGCAACTACTGCCAGTTCGACAGCCTCCTGCTGACGTCATTCACGGCGTCGATATACCTCTCCGGCCTCGTCGCCAGCTTCTTCGCCGGCCGCGTCACGCCGGCGTACGGACGGCGAGCCTCAATCATCATCGGCGGCGTAGCCTTTCTCGCCGGCGCCGCTGTCGGCGGCGCCGCCGACAACCTACTCATGCTCCTCTCCGGCCGCCTTCTCCTCGGCGTCGGCATCGGCTTCACCAATCAGGTCCGTCCGCCGGCGATTCATTTAATTATTATTTTTATTACTATTACCCCGCACGTGCCTGATCTGAACCCCCCACGTGCGCCGGCAGTCGGTCCCTCTGTACCTATCGGAAATGGCGCCGCCGCAGTACAGAGGCGCTTTCAACTACAGCTTCCAATTCTGCGTGTCCTTCGGAAGCGCCGCTGCTTTTCTGATCAATTGCGCCACCAACACGGTGGCCGGAGATTTAGGCTGGCGGATCTCCCTCGCTGCCGCAGCATTTCCGGCGCTGATCCTAACCATCGGCGCGATTTTCCTATCGGAGACGCCCAACAACCTCATCCAACGGGGGGCGGACGTTGGGCGCGCCGAAACCCTCTTGCGCCGAATCCGCGGCACCGACGATGTGCGCGCGGAATTAGACGATCTCGTCGCGGCAAGCCGCAACACGGCCGCGATTAAACGGCCGTGGAAGCGAATTTTTAAACGGAAGTATCGGCCGCAGCTCGTGATGTCTGTAGCGATACCGTTTTTTCAACAGATGACAGGGATCAACGTGATCACGTTCTACTCACCGATACTCTTCCGCACGATCGGATATGGCGAGAGCGCGTCTCTCGTCTCGACGGTGATGATCTCTGTTGTCGGGGTGACCGTGATGATCGTCTCGTCCCTAATCGTCGACAAATTTGGCCGGCGGATAATTTTCAAAATCGGAGGGATCGCGATGTTCGCCACGCAAGTATCGATCGGCGCCGTAATGGCGGCGAAATTAGGGGATCACGGCGAGTTGAGCCGGGGGTATAGCGCGGTTCTTCTCGTGTTAATTTACGTATACGTCGCCGGGTTCGGGTTCTCGTGGGGCCCGCTCGGGTGGCTCGTGTCGAGCGAGATTTTCCCGCTCGAGATACGGTCGGCGGCGCAAAGCATATCGGTGGCGGTGAATTTCTTCACGAGTTTCCTCGTCGGGCAAACGTTTCTCGCGATGTTGTGTCGGATGAAGGCCGGGACGTTTTTCTTCTACGCCGCGTGGGTCGCTGTTATGACGGCGTTCGTGTGGTTGTTTTTACCGGAGACGAAGAATATTCCGATCGAGAAGATGGAGATGGTGTGGAAGAAGCATCCGATCTGGAAGCGAGTGGTTTGCGACGGCCGCGACGGAAAAGACGACGGAGAAATAGAAGATCCATTTCTCCGGTGAAAGAGGTTTGTTGTGAACTCATGGGAACGTTATTAATTGAATTTATTTTCATGTAAATTTGATGTTATATTTATATGTAATTTTATTTAAAAAAATAAATTAATTAATTGTTACACAATTAGATAGGTACAATTTTTTTTTTTACCATTTTTGTAACATTGTTTTGTTAAGTCACGGAGTTCACTAATGTGGACGTCCGAATCTTGTCTGGATTTGTTGTAATTGACGTCGACCGTTATACACGACGTCTGTTCTCAACCTGGAATTTCAAATGCTTTATTTACTTGCGAATTTATTTTATTTTATTGTTTGTATCTTATCTTATTATATTCAGTAACTTTTTATTTAAAAAATAATAAAAACGTTTAATGAGAAGAACTGTAAAATAATCTTGATGTAATGTGCGTTGTTTGGGTTTTTTTTATATATTTTTTTAGTTGAAGATTTGTTCATTTTGTGTTTTGGAGGGATGTATATTTTATATTAGGCATAGAAAATTATTTTATTAATATAAAAAATAATATTGCGTTGAATTATTAATTTTTTAAAAATAAATAAAATATTTTTTAGGAATAAATAAAATATATATAATATATATTGTCTAATATGTGTATATATATTGTTATTTTTAATAATATTATTTATTGAGAATCGTACTGGTATACGATACAATATACTGTAAATTTTACTTATATGAGAGAGCTTCGTACTGATATCGCATCGAATTATTTAGTATACTGGAAATTACTATATAAAAGTTTTCATAGTAATACCGTTTTGACTTTTCAAAGCAATATTAATGATTACTTTTTTTTTAACATAAAAAATTGATATTTTGAAGTGGAATAAAAGAATATTTTGAATTGAAACAGACAAAATATAACTCCATTCACATGTTTTGTTGATATATAATTATGTTAGTCTAAAATTTGACTATTAATTATATGTTATCTTTGAAAAATGAATGTATTGAATTCATAATTTGGTGTTGTCTACTTTGTTTGCATATCTATGTTTACTATGTGTTTAATATATATTTCTGTGCAATAATTATGTGGTAAGTTGCATGCATAAAGACGATTATGTTAATATGTTCTTTACTGTTGTTTAAGCTATTTAAAGTAACCATGATGGTCGCTTAGAAACGAGAGGAAGATTGTTCACCTTAATTAAGATCTGGACCGACCTGAACCTGAACTAGTTTTGTTTGATCCTGACCCGATTCAATCTTAAAGTCACCCAATTCTTGACTTAGATCAATTCTTCTATGCTTCTCGCGCCCATATCGACGCCATGAAGATTATTTGTTCCTTCCTCTGTGGTCTTGTTCAAATAGATTCTTTCGGATTCTTTGTTCTTAGGTTGATAAGGTATGGTTATTCCTGATCTTGTGAGTTTTTATCTAATTTATTGATTGTTTTTATTTTCACAGTTTTATGTAAAATTATATTAATTCTTTATATAAAATATTATATTAAAATTTTCGAATGAATACATATTTTTTGTTAAGTACAAAAAATCGTACTAGTAATATAAAAATAATATTTTGTTTTAAATTATATATTTTTTAAGAATGAATAAAGTATATATATATATTATAAATTTATAATATTTATGAAAAATCGTACCATCGAAAATTTTTAGAGTGAACAAACTAAAACAAATCTTGTTTATTTGATTTTTCCAAAGAATCATTTTAGTTTTTTGCTATTCAATATACATGGTCTTTGACAAAAATTTACTCTATTAGTCTCGACTAATTATTCTATTTTATTTGGACATAAAAACTAATAAACTGTAGCAGGTGTAAAAAAGAGGATTGAGGGACATCAATTCCTCCAAACCCAAAATTTATTTAATTTTTTACTATAAAAATATTTTTATAATATAATTATCCTAATTTACCTTCAAAATAATAGAGTTATAATTTTATTATGTCTTTATTTATTTTTTTTCATCCATTACTACTGTAACAAAATAAATTTAAAAAATATAGTATCAAATTAATAAAAGTATATAGATCGACGGTCATCCCCAAAATTTGAGAGTTGGTTCTGCCATTGGTAACAAATAATTTTATTTTAATATAAAAATATAATAAGTAAAATATAAAATGAGAATATTATATTAAATTTATTAAATAATTGATAAAAAAATGATTCGATGATTAAAAAACATTATAAATTAATTATTATTTATTAAAATAATAATAAATAATAATATTGTTTATAAAATAATATTTAATTTTAAAATTTAAATTCAAAATTCAAATTCAGAGTAAAATAAATAGAAACGTCACTCAACCCTACGTATTTATATCAACAACCTTACCCTACGCATTCATATTATATTTTTCTTATTCATATTTATTTATTTAAAGTATTGTGTCGTGTGCTAAATTTCGTGATGTCTGATATTCCAAGTGGCCAACAACCGTTGGATGTGTTTCGTAATATTATTATTATTATTTTAAATAAAATTATTATTTAACATAATATATTTTTAAAAATAATTACTCAAGATATATATATTATTGATTTTACTTTTCAATTTTTATTTTTTATTTTTCATAAACCAAACATCCAGATTCCTTTAATTTGGTTTGGAAAAAATTGTTTTAAATTTATATTTAAATAATATTTGGTGAGATTTTTTTTTTTTTTTAAGAAAAAAAAATACTCCTTCCATTCCAAAGTATTTATTTTTTTTTTATATTTGTCTGTCCGATAACAGAATATCTATTCATCCTTTTTTTTTTTAAAGTAAACTTACTATCTACCTAATATTAAAAATATACTTACAACTTCCAATATATTATACAAATACCATTACATTTATATCTGTTACGTATGAAAATTATAATTAGGTTAAAAAACCCAAGTTACAAGAAGCACATGGGCCAATGATTGGGTTGGTTGGATTGATCGAGGGGTAATGTGAGAAAATTTGGTGAAATAGAGATGTTTCTAAGTTCCGCAGGTCGGAAAGTCCGCAAGACGGAAGGTCCGCAAGTCGGAAGGTCCACAGGTCGGAAAGTCAGCAAGACGGAAGGTCCGCAGGTCGGAAGGTCCACAGGTCGGAAAGTCCGTAGGTCGGAAAATCCACAAGACGGAAGGTCCGCAGGTCGAGTGGTCCACAGGACGGATGGTCCGCAAGTCGGAATCGCAGGTCGGGTGGTCCGCAGGTTGGAAAGTCTGCGGGTCGGTTGGTCTATAAGTCGGGAGGTTTGCGGCTGGACCAAACAAGTTGGATGGTCTATTAGTCGGGAGGTATGCGGCTGGACCAACAAGTCGGATGGTCTGCAAATCGGGAGGTATGCGGCTGGACCAAACAAGTCGGGTGGTCTGCAAGTCGGGAGGTTTGCAGTCGGACCAACAAGGTGGAACTTTGCGGTCGGGCCAAAAGGGCGGAAGGTCTGCGGTCGGTTTAGAGAGTTGGATACTGTTGCTAGAGAGCGAGAATGACACTTCGGTCGGTTGAGGGCACGTGTCAGCAGGAGAAGGCTTAGCAGACGGTTGAAAAAGAAGCGTTGTAACCGTTCGGACGACGGTTTTCAGTACCTTTTCTCAAGGAATATTTAAGGATTTGGATTTTTCTAGAAAAGGCATCTTCAATCATCTTCAAACGACATCTTCAAACGACGACAAAGTCAAGAGATTCGGGGATCACCACTTTAAATTTCCAGTATTTTAATTTCCAGTTTATTTTCTGTGTACCGTACAGTGTTTAGTGATTTCTAATCTCAGACACTAATTAATCAAATTTGAGGATATTACCGTATCTTTGAATCTTACTTTTTGTTTGTTGAAAAAATACATCAACAATATCACATAATACTAATAAGGTTATTTTAATCATTTTTACTTTATTCCTACTATATCTCAATATAATACTAATATTTTTAAAACTCCATGCAAAAAATAAATTGATACATAATTATAGGACTGACGGAGTATATATTACAAAAAAATAAATTTTAAATAATAAAATTTTAAAAATACCAGAGTAAAAAACACACATGAGGTTTGTTTTGGGTTGATTTAGTTTTGATTTTTTTTTGTTTTAAAATCTTATTTTAATTTTTTATGAAAATATTATATAATCACTTCGCTTCAAAGAATTACATTTACTTTTTTGCGTCATATATTAGTATTATAAAATACTAATTGAAGTATTTTTGTAATTTCTTTTAATTTGTATTATATTTTGATATAATAATTAATATTCAAATATGAATATGCAAAAAGTAAATGAAATTTTTAAAGCCGAACAAAGATAATATTTTTTATGTTTATTATGCAAACTAAAATAGAAAAATTAATTTAAATTACAGACCAAATACGTACAGCTTTTGTTTATTTGTTTTTTTCATAAATATATGTAGCTAGGTTTGTTTTTTTATAATTTGAAATTAAAATCAATACAATTTATTTAATATAAATATATTATTTTTTCTTAAAATATCATATTAAAAAATATTATTAAATAAAATTTTAAATCAACACTTAGTTTTAAATCAACCTCCAACCATAAACAAAACAAAGCTTTAATATTCAAATAAAATTTTGTGAAATAAACAGTATTTGATCAATAATTGTGGTACATATATTATTATATTCATATTTTTTGTTGACGTGTCGTGTTGTACTCAACAATTATTGAGCATGGGATTTGTATTTATTTTATTTTATTATTTGTTTTATTCATTTTGGCTGATTATATCTATAAATAGATATTAATTTTATTATATTAATAAAAAATTTCAAGTTTTTGTAAATTAATTTTAACATATATAAGATTATAAGGTTTTGAGGTTTGCAGTGTTTTGGGCTTGTGGTCGTTAAGTTTTGGATTTGGATTTAAATTTTGAATATTAAAATTTTAAATTAAAATAATTATTTAATTTGATATAAATATATATTGACGTAATATTTTAAATATAAATTTATACTTTAATATAATATAATAAATAAAAATATGTATTAATTTAATAATTTTTATAGAAAAATTGAAATACTAAAATTCAACTCAAAATCCCGCAAACAAAAATTGAATTATAAAATTTATTTGATACATTATTAAATAAAAATATACCATATAATGTTTGGCTCAATTATATAATACCTTTTATATTATAGTAAAAATATATAAAATATTTTATATTTTATTTATTGCAGAAACTCTCTAGTATTTAATAAAAATATATACTCTTTCTTCGTTTCAGTACAATAGTTTTATTTATCATTTTTGTCCGTTCCAAAACAATAATCTTATTTCTATAAATAATCATA